ACTCGTTTGTAAATAGAATGCTTTTCTGTGGAGGTTTCTTAGAGTCACAATGACTCGCTTTCTTTCTCTTCAGTCTCTTGACTCGATTTATTTCTTGCTCAACTTTCTCATACTTCTCGTTTTTCTTCTTGTGCGAGGCAGGTACTCCGCCGCAGCGAAGCCCTAGCGTACGGTGCAATCTCGTGCATCCGCCACATCTGTAACTACGGAACCTCTAACTCGTGGGGAGGTAGGTCTTCACGAATCGTGAATGGACCTAACCGGCTCGGCAATCTAGCCGGCCACATACACAACTTGCCCACATAACCACTCTCTTGGTTCTTTATCTTTCTTTCTTGCTTGCTTTCTATATGGAATCAGGTATCGTACTTTTAGTGTGCACACCCCCTAACCAGGATTCCAAGCCTAGCGGGCAGTCTCCAACCTCATAACGTGGGAATACACCGCGTTACATGTTCATCAGATCGCAATGTCCCGGTCATCCTCTCCGAAAGGACATAGTCCCAACGGGCCCTCCAAAACCTCACATATATATATATATATATATATATATATATATATATATATATATATATATATATATATATATATATATATATATATATATATATATATATATATATATATATCAGGCAACTCTTCTACTCGTGCAAACTTATGCATGTCACTTCTCAACAAATACTCAATGCAACAAGGTAATGACATTCCACATGCTCATGAGTTTTGGAAAATAATACTTAGGCTCACGTTGCCCATTTATGCTTTTTTTTAAAAAAAAACATGACATTCTTGGGATGTAATTTACTATACAACATGCTTCAATTCTATATGTTACTGTGAACTCTCAAAAGACACATAATCATGCTAGGATTGCAAAACAACATGCTCTGTACAGTTCAACAAATGTAATCAGACTATATTCTCTATGAATCAATTACACACTTTAGACATGCTTTTCTAACAATACTCAAACACTTAATGATCATGCTTCTCTATTTAACAATCAAATAACATCAAGCAATTCACATAGGCAGTATAACTCTGATACTTTTCATTTGAACATTACTGTAATACAATTTCATCACAAATTATATCATATCATACTCATTTCTAATCCAAATTCAATGAAATCAAGGTCCAAACGTGCGTCATGACGGCCCCAAGGTACCGAGCCCCAAGGGCCCATGACACCCGGTCCGAAACGACATGTAGCTGAGCCACAAGGGCCCGGCCACTGCACAGACAAAACCAACGGAACTTGCGGCGGGGCTCCCGCCTGGGACCGCCCGGCGGCGGCCTAGGGCCGTCCCGTCACTGCTCTAGCCAGCAGCTCCCCTCGTGGGCCATTGGCTAGACCCGTGACTTCTATCTGGTGCACACTGTGTTGTGCACCAGAGACTTCTTCTTCACTTGTATAGAAATTTTAGACAATTTTCCTCTTCCAAAACATCATCAACACATTATACAACATCAACAAGTCATCTAATAGCTCAAACACACAATATTCTAACATTTCTACTCATTTCTAGCTATTTCACAGAGGCTTCACAAAGCCAAAACTAAACTGGGAGTCCATGGGGTTATACCTCAGCTTCTTCTTCCTCTTCTTTGTGTGGTTCCTTTCCTTCCTCAGATGACACTTCCTAGACTCTTCATACAACCACACAACCCAAGCCTAGAGATAGAACTTCAGTGATTTAAGCAAAGGAAGATGAAACCTTAAGGGAAAGATGAATGAAATAAATGGCTGAGGAAGGTGGAATATTTACTGTAATGGTTTCTTTCTCTTATCTACAGAGCTTCTGGGAATGGAGTGGCAAGGGGAATGATCAGGAAAACACAAGGCATTATTGACACTTATATAGGGTCCAAAACCCTAGGATAAATGCCAATGATTGGTTGATGGCAAAGTGGTAAATAGGATTTGGCAGGAAGAAAGAAATCAGACTAGTTTTGGATGGTTTGTGGTCCACCATGCTTCATGGACCATGGGCTAGAGATGCTATTTAAAATAGTTTGAGGTTAAAAGATAATTTTCTCAACAATGTTTTCAAGTCAAACACTTGACTTAGGCTTCTCAGTCATCTCACGGTTTCAGTCATATAGTTTTCTCAGTTTAAAACTTGGTACGCGAAGTACCTGAAAATTTAGGATTTTGGAATTAAAACTCTCGGTGTTGGATTTTATTAAAAAGTCAGTCAAAATAATTTATTCAAACACCGTTCTTTTTTGCAAAAAAAAAAAAAAAATAGGGAGTAAAATTGGCTATTTTGGAATTTCTTAAAATCGGATTTATAAAATTAAATTTTGGGTTGTCACATATATGGTTAAAGAGAAGAGACAATCAGGCTAGACAAGAATATCAAAGAACCAGGAATAAAGAAATAAGAGAAGAGAATGGAAGACAGCGTAATCATAAATGAAGAGATCGAGAAGAAGAAGGTACAGGATCTCATCTACTTCCAAGAAGTGCAGGAAATGATAAAAAATTTGAAGGCCATTGGAAAATATGCTGAACTAGCTGCCAAGCACAATGTTGGGTTCAAGATCTAAGAAGAATCTGGCAAAAGCTATGTTGAAGGAATGAATTCAATTGAATTAGTTTGTTGGTGGAACAATGGAATTATTCCTGGACGACACATTCTCGAAGCATACAACAGCTATATGAGTTACACCTTATCGAAGAAGTATGTCGAATTACCATGAGACAAGGGTATTTGAGAATTTAGGAAGATCATCAATGACGAAATTAATCTGAAAAATATGCTCAAAGATCAAAAAGCTCAGGAAGAAGAAACCTCAATAGAAGAACCTCGACAGAGAGAGGAACTTCAAAATTTGTAATATATAGATATCTTTTTGTAATCAGAATCTCATTTGAATGAAATCCATCTCTTTTTGCGGGTTGCGTTGAGTTTTATGATGTTTCATTTGCTTAGATTTCTTTTGTAAACTCAACTATATGGCTGTTTTGTAATGAAAATCCTTTCATGGATAATTTCAGCCTAATGCGAGAGTGTAGGTTTTGGCATCACCAAAAAGGAGGAAATTATTATGAACATGTGTAGTTAGATTTTGATGATACCAAACTCACTAAGAATTTAGACCCCTCTTTCGGCAAGAACAAAACCTTATGTGAGTTGTTTCTGCTCACAATATGATTCGTGCTCAGGTATGCTCTACACAAATCAAAGCATCTTTTAGACAGTCAGATCAAGAGAAGATCAAGAGAAGGCCGAGAAATCTGCTTAGACCGAAACTTAGAAGGGTCTATCTCTCATGTAATTCACAAATGATAAAGAAAGATCATTTGAACTATGAAGACAATGAATGATAAGGACAATCATTTGTTACCAGAACCCGAGACTACGAGTCAAAGTCTGACTCGATTGGACAAGTCTTATATGTTTTTAGAAGCATAATTGTTCAAGTCTCAAAGCTGGGAAAATCATCCCAGACAAATGGTGTCCTAGGTATGATATTTTAAATCCCAAGGAACATTAAATGATTAGTACTTTTGTCAGTACTAAAAGACATAAAAGGTAGATCACCTTTTTGCTACCAACGGCTACACAGTACAACCGCATTCAAGTCTCCTTACTCAGCGGGTTTTACACACTGGTTAATAGGTTTGAAATTTCATCTCCCTCCAACGGATGGATTTTCCACACCTATAAATACCCCTCTTCATCACTTGAAGAAGGTGTTGGTCATCACTCTATTGCTAACAAAGCTTTCTAAACTCTCAAGTTAGAAGTTATTCATGGCCAGTGTGTATGTTTGTGAAGATTGTTTTAAAGATAATCTAGCTCTCAAAAGTCTTCACAACATCAAGAAATCTTGTACAAGTTCATACGAAGATCAAGCTTCATCAAGTCAAGATTTCAAGTTGTAGATACCATCAACCTTTTCCAACCAGTTAACTCTGTAGAAGTTGATAGAGGTGGAGTAAACTCGAAGGATTTGAAAAACCTTAGCAAGTTGTTGTCCGGCTTAGTGATCAAGGAGGCAAGCTTGGCTTAGTTTGTACTAGGACTCTAGGAGTGATAGTGCAAACCCTTTCACGAGTTGTGAAAGAAGAGTGGAGTAGGCTTCGTTAATAGCCGAACCACTATAAAAATCTCTCTCTACCTCTCTCATTTACATTTCCATTACTGCATTGCATTGCATCCATATCAAACCTAAGAAAACACTTTCAATATTAAAGTGTGGAGAAAATTTCAATTTTGGTCCACTGACTATTGCACTTGTGTTAATTGCAACACTTGACTTTCAAAAATGTTAATTTAGTACCTTGACTATGCAATTTCTATCAATTTTGGTCACGCCGGCCAAATGTGACCGGAAAGTTTAAACTTATTAAATAAAAGGGGGCAAAAATGTCATTTTAGGAAAAAAAAATTTTCAAAATTAAAAATTTGCAAAAGTGTTCACCTTCGTCTCCAACTGGAATTCAGCATGCCCCGACATTCTCCCCGCCATGTTTGGATCCGTTGTTGGAGTTTGCAAAGCCATTAACAAGGCGATAGCTGAATCCCGAGGACGACGACGTTGTTGGTTTTCTTAAACTCTACGTGTCAAACATCATACACAGACCGCACCGAACCTGGAGGTTGCTGGAGGCCAGTGTCGCCCCTTACGGCGTCACCGTCGACGTGCCCCAGAAGTAGGATATGGCTGGGGGCGCCGCCGCCGCCGGGCTGTTGAATGCTCCCTGCTTGGCCTCGTAGGCCATGGAAAACAACTCCCTCGCACGTTTCAATATGGAAGATGACGTCTGCGTCGCCGGGCTCTTTCTCCATCGCTTCATCTATTTCTCCATCGTCCGACAAGATTCCTCTTCATGTCAAATTTGGGAAGCCAATTGTTGACCAAATCTGACACCGACAAGCTCCTCTGCACCACCGACAAGCCATAGACGCCGTGGTTCTGTACGCTCGAGAATCTTCGAGAAGGCCGGCATAAAATCCGACACCGACAAGCTCCTATGCACCATCGGTTTCACCAAAACCGTGTTCATACTGGTCGCCACATTCACGCTAGACAAGTTCCGTCGCCGGCAGTTGCTCCTAACCAGCGTCGGCGGGATGGTCGCCACACTGACACTCCTAGGAACGACGTTGACCGTCATCGACCACTCCGTAGGTGGGTCCTTCTTCCTGTACGCGTCTATCGTCGCCGTGGGGTGGGAGATTTTTTAGGTGGCGGTTGAGGCAGAGGAGACGGAGGCGTTGTTTGGTCAACAATTGGCTTTCCCAAATTGGAAGGAATAAGAAAGACGATTTTACCCTTTCTAATTAGGTTCAAATTTTGACTTAAGATTTTCCGGTTATAATTGGCCGGTAATTTGGCCGGCGTGACCAAAATTGATAGAAATTGCATAGTCAAGGTACTAAATTAACATTTTTGAAAGTCAAGTGTTGCAATTAACACAAGTGCAATAGTCAGTGGACCAAAATTGAAAATTTCTCTTAAAGTGTGCAAAGAAACTTTAAAAGGATAAACTATTTTCCGTTGTGCACTAATCTTTCGAGTAAGGTTTTAAATTTCGCTCAAGAGTCTATTCAACACCCCCTCCCACTTCCAGACTCTTATACCTTCGGTATTGAGACCAACAAGTGGTATCAGAGTGGTTTCCTTAAACGGTAAACGCTTTGCGCATACTCTGACAATCCAAAATTTAATTTTATAAATTCAGTTTTAAGAAATTCCAAAATAGCCATTTTTCACTCCATAAAAATTTTTGCAATAAAATCGGTGTTAGAATAAAATATTTTGAACCACTTTTAAATGACTTCAACACCGGAACATGATTTGAAACAAAAATCCTAAATTCTCGAGTACATTGCGTGCCAAGTTTTGAACTAAAAAATTAATCTGAGTGAAACCAGGAGAAATCTGAAAAGCTTAAATCAAGTGTCTATCTAGAAATCATTTTGAGAAATTCAATTTCAAACCCAAACTACTTTTAAATCCTGATTTTGGATCATGGACCATGAAGCATGGTGAACCACACCACTCCAAGAGCTTGTCAGATGCAACTTTCTTGCCAACCCTTTACACTTTTGCCCTCCTCCAATCATGAGAGATCTTCCTAGGGTTTTGTGCTACTTTATATTGAGCCATTCACAGACCTTTGCATCTTGATTCCACTCTTTGCTTCCCCAACCATTTTGCTCTGCAAAACACAACTCACAGTAAGTTTTCTCCAAGCTCTAGCCTTCCATTTCTTAAGCTTCCTTCTATTCTATCTCTGAGAACTTGGTAGTGAGTGGTTGTGTACATGGTTGTAAAAATCGCGCCTAGGCGCTAGGCGGCTGCCGGCCGTCGCGAGGAAGGCCGGAATCGGCCTCCTCCGCGGCCGGCCGACTGAACCGGCGCTAAATTTGATTTTTTTTTTTTTTTTTTGCGTTTTCAAGTGGGAAAAGTTCGGGAAGGCATAACTTTTGACTCGGTTGTCCATTTTGGACAATTTTTTTTTTTCAAATCGCGTATTTTTTCGAGATCTATCCACCAAAGGCGGTTTGGTCTACTAATTTCTCAAAAAAAAATGCTTGTTTTGCTCTTAGTTTTAGTTTTTTATATATTTGGAATAAGGGTCAAATAGGCCATTGAACTATGCATGAAAATGCAATTGAACCACTCAACTTAAAAATACAGCAATTAGACCACTGAATATTCAAAAATCTTGCAATTTCTCTAAATAGGAAGTTGCCTTCCGGTAATCTTGCAATTGATCTGTTTGATTTCTCCATCTCAATTATCGAAATAATTGCTTAGTCTTAGATCCAAGAAATCATTAAGATGGAAACTATCTTTATGTTTGATGAGTTGGATCGAATCGTTGCTTTGGTGGGGAAACTTTCGCAATTATAGAGACCTCGACGTCGAAACTAAGGACCACGGGAACCAAATCTACGAGGAAGGGAAAGTTTATGGTCACAAGTATTTCATGGGGAATTACCAGAGGTTGGTGAAAGTGAATAGCATGGTCGATCCAGATAATTTCTTTAGGAATGAACAAAGCATTCCTGCTCTAAGTCAGAGTAGGAATCATAATGAAACTGGAAGTGAATCATGTGAACCTGGTCTTCGTCGAAACGGTCACTACGATCCAAGACTCCCGTAGCTCTTGTCTCTGTCGCCATTGACCATCACCGCCGTCGTGAATGTAGAGTTCAGACGCTAGTCTTTATCGATGATTCGATGGTGATGAATATATCTGTTAAATAACATTAAAAAAAAAAACTAATAAAAATCCACATAAGTCTATATGTGGCAAGGTAACCGGTTATTAAGTGAGTCAAACCTCTAAATTGGTAAGATTGCATGAAATTGGTGGGTTTAAGGGGCCAATTGTAGTTTTTTCAAGTTGAGTGGCTCAATTGTATTTTCATGTGTTGTTCAATGGCCTATTTGAACCTTATTCCTATATATTTAGATGGTTTAAACAATCTTTTGAACACTTTTACAACCACTTACGTAAATACTTTGTAAGAAATAACTGTGGAAACCTTATATTTTATTACTAAATTTTGAAAATTTTTAATTTTTAATTTTATTTTCAATTAAAAAAAATTAAAAAAAATAAATAGGCGCCTAGGAGGCGCCTAACGTTTTTTGCAACATTGGTTGTGTGATTTTTTTGAGATGTTTAGGGGTGAAGGAGGATGTAGCTAGCTTGGGAAGAAAGTGGAATCCCTGCTAAGAGGAGGAATCTACAAAGGTATAACCCCATGGACTCCCAAATCTATTTTTGACTCTGTGAAGTCATTGTTTGTGCTTAGAAATGAGTAGAAATGCTAGAATAATGTGTGTTTGAGCTAGTAGAATGTGTTATTGCTGAGCTTAGATGTGTTGTTAATGTTTTGAGAGTGTTTATTTGCATGATATTGCATTACGGGTGAAGAAGAAGCTCACTGGTGCACAACACAGTGTGCACCAAATGAGACACAGATCTAGCCAACGGCCCTTAGGAGGAGCCGTTGGCTAGGGCCGTGGAGGAGCGGCCCTAGGGCACGGCTCTAGGCAAGAGCCGTAGCCCTAGGCTGCCGCTTAGCCGCTCCAGGCGGCGAGACTCCTCAAGCCCCGCCACAAGCCCCATTGAGCAGGAGCTGTGCAATGGCCGGGCCCTTGTGGCTCAACTACGTGTCGTTTCGGACCGGGACTCGCGGGCCCTTAAGGCTTGGACACTCGAGGTCTTCACGACGCACGTTTAGAATTTGATTTCATTAAATTTGGAGTAGAAATGAGCATTTTGTGATAGAATTCGTGAAAGAGAATGCTATAAAATTGCCTGAAAGTAAATACAGTGAAGGAAAATGTTGAGTATTTGTTCTTGGCTATTTATTTGAGAAGCATGATAATTATGTGATTGTTAGATAATGAAATATGATCAATACTTGTTAAGTTTGCTATAAAAGTATGCCTAGATGTCTAATTGACTTGTTGAGATTATTGCCAAGAATGTTACAATTTACAGTAAATAAGAATAAGTGGAGCATTTTGAGTTCAAAGAGCATGTTGAATACTTGCTAAGTGTTTGCCAATGAAGATTTGCTAAATTATGATTTATGAACATGTTTATAGAATTGTTGAGAGTTCACAGTGAAAGAAGTTTTGTAGAATATTCTACAGTAAAGTGCATATTTGAGCATATCATGTTTTAAAGTGCATAAATGGCCAAAGTTATAACACCCCCCGAATTTCAACGATTTTTAAAACTTGATTTAAAGGGATTAACAGTCTAAACATCAACATAAGAAAAGCGGAAGCTAACTACATGAATCCGGGAGATGCTATGCCACACCTATATCAAACATAGGTGCACAGGCAGATACTACAACTACAGCAGTCTAACAAATCAACTACTTAGGCTCACAGGCCTCAACAACTATTACAGAAAGGGATTAATCTATCTACATGCCACTATCGCGCTCTCCAAAGCTACCCAACCTGTAAAGCAACAAATAGAAATGGGACGACGCCCGGTCAGCGAATAATGCTGGTAACCCACCAATACATGTGAAATATCATACATAGGTAAGATATAAGTTGTAAAACAATTTCGGAACGGAATACATATATATAAGTCCAAAACCAAGAGTAATAGTCAACACAAGACTCAAACACTCTCAACAAGAACACGGGAACACATCCCAAGACTACAAGGAACAACAACGACTCACAAGAAGTCTCAAGGTACAATCTTTCATCACACAATAGATTAATACCCGACATGCGTAACTCAAGGAATAAAGACACAACACACGACAACACATGCCAAGGCAACACATGCCTTTGTGACTACACACGTCACAAGAAGAGAACTCACAACAACGGCTACACAAGCCCTCGTGACATCACCCATCACGAGTTGATATGCCTTCCTTATGCCCGGTTCCAACCTTATGGCTACCCCAACCTTATGTCTAGTTCCAACCTTTACCTCCAGGACCCCTGTACACCAAGTCCAACCTTTTCCCTCCGAGGACCGTCGTCCCCTCTCCAACAGATCTCCAACAGAACCACCGATTTCATAGTACACGAGGGTACCGATTACACACAAGGCAACACATGCCACCCAAGAAATACGTGAACCTTACACAAAGGTCACAACTCCATAATTACGTCATGGCCACCACGAAGACCACTGCAATACCTTGGTGACTAGTGTCCCATACCACTAATCGTATAATCCAGGAAAAGCCACACACACATCACACCACAACAGGAATCAATCAACGGATCACAACAAAGATATGAAACCATACTCAATCAAGGAATGGATCACAGTCCACAACAATAACGATGAATATTACAAGTTACCATCAACCCATAAGAAGGTACAAACAACACACACGCTAGCATTTAAACACCAAACTAGCATGCTTAACAAACGGGCAAACCAAATGTAGTTCCGAAGAACACACAAGACTCATCACGGTTCAACGAAACACAATGTTGAATACTTAGCACGATTCAAGACACCAAAACCTACATGGATACCTACCACATAGTTCTAGACATACGAAACATCAAGAAGACACTCAAATAGTTCCACAAAAGAACAACGGGAAGTCAAAAGACCAAATACCGAGTCAAAAGAATCACGGGGAACAAATCCCCAATCACCCACACT